TCAACTTGTCGATGATGAATAATATCGCGTGTTATGTATTATGACATGAAAAGATGCATGGATCGAGCTTCTTGGCTTATAACCTTTTAGTTAAAATAAATAAATAAGAGTTTAACGCTTTTACGTATTCTATAAGCAATAATACATGAATCCGAGTCAAAGTAGATCTTTTAATTCGGAGTATAAAATGGTACATATCTTAAAATAGATATATGTGTTTGAATGTGAGATACCTATAATTTATTATATATATATATATATATATATATATATATATATAACTAAAATTGTTTTTTTATAACTTTCAAAGCACTATCAATTCATTTTCTATCATCTAGGATGAGCAAATCCTGTCAACTCTCGTTTACCATTCTTATTGTCTTCACAATTGTTGTCTAGGTTTGTATTGTCTTAATTTATTACATATATCTTTTTTTCCAAAGAAACAAGTTTGGAATACTATATTAATTCTTTAAAATATCAATAACTATGTTATATAAATTTGTACCAAATATTCTTTATTTTAGAATTTGACAATATCGAGTTCTGCTCTTTTTGTTAAATCCATATCAGATCTAACTAAAAAAATAAGTTCAAAATTTTTGTACTAGACCTAAGAAATTATAACCCCAAAGATACTTTGAAATTTCTTCACATCTTGAATAATTCCTTAGTTTTTAAATTCAAATGGTCTTAATATATTTTGAAAATTATTGTGATAGCAATTGATTAAACATCTTTCTATTGCTTTTTTTGTCGTCAATAATTCTTTTCCATTTGTGTTGCATAGATAAATGTTTCAAGCTGCATATATTGTTTTAAAAGTATGGGTGCTATATAAATTTACATGTAAATTTATATGGTACATACAAATTATTTTAATATAGTAATTGGTTTTAGTTACAAATTTTTTTTAAAAAAATAATTAATGGATGATATAAAAAAATATACTCATATATATATATATATATATATATATATATATATATATATATGTAAATGTCTTTAAACATCTATCTTCACAATAGAAAGATAAAATATTACTTTCTCATTTTTTTTTGTTAAAGATTACTTTCTCATTTTCAATGCATAAACTAAACTTTATATTGTCAACGCATTTTACCATAACAGGTGTGGTTGGAAATGTGGAGCAAAAAAGCCAAGATTGGTGTTGGAGCGTTGTAAACAAAGACCGTTGTCTTCAGAAAGAGTGTGAATCTCTGTGTTTGAAAAAAAATCCAAAAGGAAAATTTATTTGCGCACCTTCAACCCCGGGAGGACCTTTTCAATGTCAATGTCGTCATCCTTGCCGTTAAGTCTGTTTTTTTTTTTTTTTAAACAAAAAAATCTCAAATAATGCAAAGACATGTTTAGAATATGTGATTTTGCTAAGATATGTTTTTATGATAATAAAAGGTTTTTTTATTATTATTATTGTATGTTTATTATTAGAAGTTTTATTTATATCCACATGAGAACATAATTATGTTTTTGATTTCAAAAGTATTATACCAACCTCATTAGGACACACTAATTGTAATATATGACATTGAAAAATGAATTTGATTAAGTACTAATATATCGAAACTAATTTGATAAATTACGGTGGTTATAAGAAAGTGATTAGATTACTGGTTAGAGGAGGATATTTTCAGTTTCATCGAACCTATTACATGTTGTGTGGTGATGTACATGAGAAGTGGCGATATCATTAGCCGGTCATGAGAATATTGGGGTCAAATACGAAACAAAATTTGGAGCCCCTACGATTGTTTTTCATTTGGCTGCATTCGGGACTGGCCCTGGCATATGCCGTTTACGCTTTCATGTTTACTATTATAAACTAGTGTTATAGCCCGTGCGTTGCACGGCCCTTTTTCAACATTTTGGATCTTTTCTTTATTTTGGGCCATC